ACTGTTAAGATGCCAAGGTATATCTCGTCGCGTTGCTCGTCGCCGTTCTCTTTCACCCTCGACGAGAGATAGAGAGGGAATTCTTCCTTCGCGCGAGCTCGCGCGAGAGAAGAGGGCTCGCGAGGACGGCGACGGCGGCCGGCGACGCGATGTAATGGTGAACGGTAAATATTAATCTCCGGCGTTACAATGCGCGCGGGTCGTTCCGTCGTGGCCCCGAACCCGCCGTCACGTCATTCTTCAGCCCGGGCTCCTCATCACTCTCCGGACCGAGCCGTGACCAATCTGGAATAAATATTGGCGATTATTAACTCGCCACGCGGACCACGGCCACGCTGACGAGGATCCGGAGGGGTGGGAAGGGCCCCAACGTCGTTTCTGAGGTGCGAGATGGACCACGGACTCGGGGTCCGGTGTCTTCTGTGAGATGCTTGAGACGTTAAGTGGTCCCATTAGCTACGTTCCTAGGTGGACCGTGCGGCCCGACGATGGCATTCCTTTGGTCGTTCCGTCTTCCACCACCTTCCCTCGCCCCCTTTTCCCATTGCCCCCGTGCACATTAATTCTCACGGTGCCACGTGTGCCCGTTAATATGGTGGCACGGAATCTCGGTATCTTGATGTCTTCCTCTAATAAATATGCAAGATATATTCATTACCTGAGTATATTCCAGAGTAATTATATCACCATGAAATTTCCTGTTGTTCGGAATACACTTAGAACACTTGTCGATAGTTACAGACTCATTTTTAAAATTGAGACCTCTGAGTTGACTGACTTGTTAACAATAATGTTGTTGATTGTTAGACAGAAAATAATATGAGAACGATATGACGAAATATAAGACTGATGCATCCATTTTTGCGTCCGTTTCCATATCAACGGTCGAATGATCGTAACAAGACGAACGACGTCAACGTGACGTCAACGGAGATAGTCAACTCTCGTTTTATCGAGATCGAGGATACCCTTTGGATAACCTCGAGATTGGTGGAGAAGAAGATAAGCCGAGCGGCGTCCAGGTGTCTCTCGTAGACCGACAAAGAGAGGGCCCGAGAGGGCCACTCGCACGTAACAGCGGGCAGAGTCATCGTTGTCGTCTCGCCGGAGGGCGGTTGTGAGAAGGGCTCGGAGGAGGACGATCTAGACCTCTTTTTTCGATGGACGAGAGGAGCAGGAAGGGAGACGAAGGGGAGAGGAGGAGATGGAGATGTCACCGTCGGACTGCGCGGCGAGTCAGCAAATTCCTCGTTCGTCGAGCCACCATGACGACTTCATCCCCCCGACATTTCCTCACGAGAAAGGCGCGAAAGCGAAGTTGGTGCGATAATAAATTATCGCTTGTAAAATTATCACATTCTAGATTCATGTATGAATTAAAGATTTGTGCGACGGTAAATGTACGGGTCGTGAATTAAATTAAGTTTTGGAGTGGAATTTTTTACGAAGAATAAAAGTGACCAGAAATGATCTGTGAAAAATGTAAATAATAATGTAAATCTACAGATACACGTGTAGCGAATCGACTCGATTTCCTCTCTCCCTCTCTCTCGCGTTCGTCAATCGCGCAAGCTTTATTTTTCAGCCTCTGAGGAAGATTAAATTTACACATAGTAGCACCGCGGAACAATACCGGCGTTGTTTGCACGGTGTGGTAAATATTTGAGTGCTATCCCGTCGCGCACGCTCTCTCATCGTGCCACGCGTTGCTGCGCTCGAGCCAAGGGCTCGAACTTCAGGGTACATACTAATTCCCTTAGCTCTTACCGATCGGTGTTTACTTCTGCCACTTCGCTTTAATTGTTCGCAAATCGTGACATAATGACTATCGAGCGGCAATGGTCACTGACCAAAAGAAAGGGGTGCGATCAGCATCATTCTCTGATTCAGATTTATTTAAAAGGTTTCAGACTCTCTTAAGATATTTTATTGTAATTTTAAAGAAAATGAGATTTAGCAAAAATTACGTCTATTAGCTACTGTTCTTTCGTGAAATCTTATAAAAGCGGAAGTTTGCGGAAGAAGAGTATACGTTCAAGCGCAGTGAATCCAGTGTACATGAATAGTTTCTTTGTAGTAATTTCCTTTGCTTGAAAAATGCGTGTATGTGAATTCGGTGATCGATCGATTATCGCCTCGTCAGAGATGGAATCGCAGAGTCGGGAGAGTCGGAACGGCAGTAAATAAAAATCCCGGGTTAATTTTTTTCGAACAATGCCACCGATGCTCGCGCCCGCCGGTGTGGAGGGTAGCAACCCTTTTTTTTCATACTGTTCAATCTCTCCCGACTGAACGTAATTCGTGTCGCCATTCAAAATGAAAGCTAATGGTATTGCTTTCCCCTTCACGGGCCTCGCGAAAATTTATCGCAATCTTGCCACGGGAGGATTTATCTGTCGATGCAGGACGAGCAGAAAATCGCAAAATTAACTGCAAAAATCCTGAATTGTCGGAAAGCGCCACGTTAGAAAATTGCAGTTGAATGTATTTGGAGGAATTGAAATTTCTATCCGTCTTGAATTAGTAACGCGCATATGAAAGCTATTATTTCCATGTGATTACAATGAAAATGTATAATTTTAAATTGCCGCGTTTGTTTGTTAATCCTCTTTATCGATGATGCTGTAAGCTGTCTCTGTATGTGCGAACACATATAACGCGTAACAGTTGAGTGTAGCGCGAGCATGGCTCTGGTTGGTTGGCTCGGCCTCGGTCTGGTTGGTCTCTGGTCTGGCTGATAGGAGCTCATTCCCCTCTTGCTGTCGGCCACGTCTCTCTCCGTAGTTTTTCTAGCTGCTTACGCACACACTCCGTCTCTTAACTCTCATTGGGTCTCCATTTTCCCTTCTCTTTTTTTTCCCGTTCTTTCTCTCATCTCTTCTGTATGCGCCTGCTTATTTGCGCGCTCATAATTCAGTCTTTGCTCCAATTCTGCTGCGCCCGATCGAATCCCCACTCTTTCCTAGACAAACAAATTGCCGGATTTCGCAAGTGTGTAGATCAAATAAATAAAGTTACTTTATTCTCTACGAAGTTATGGTTATGCTAAATTGCATTTCTATTGCGTTACGTATATCGCGGACGGTATGTGAAAAATTACGAAATACGCTCCGGCACCAGGTCGAGGAGCACCACGTAGCTGAAATTCACCATGTAATTCCATGTTAACGATAGTTCCTAAATCAATCCTCCGTCCGTCACATTCTTGCACGCGTGGGCGTGGAATGTGGCGCGGCAGCAGGTAACGAACCAAGCTCATTACTCGTCGTCACGTGTCATTCGTGACCTCGTCGTAAATGAAGGGAAACGAGAAGAGGAATCGTCCGGCACGACTATCCTTCTTGGATCGTCTCGTTATGGCCATTCGTCATTTTCACGCCTCCGCGAGAGAACGATAAGCTATATACACCTTGCTCAATACTGCATTACTAAGTTGCATTATTGAGATTAGAAGATCCAAAAAAAAAAAAAAAAAAAAAAAAACAATAATAGCACGATGTGAAATATAAGGCATCGACGAACTGGAATTTTTCTCATTGAAACTGATGATACATGTAGTGATTTAATTTAATACTTAATAACAGAAATAATTACAAAACACTCGAGACGCTAATACGGTCAAGTGGAATCGACGAATCATGTGACACATTACGTTCCTCATAATTATCTAATTACGTTAATAGCCACAACTCTATACAGTAGTATAGATATAACTCTACAGTAGATAAAACACGTTACCTCTATTTCGCCTCGCCTCGTTACTGTATTATCCGTCATTTTCACACCTCGGAGGTGATAGAAACGTGCGTGTGAGACGCTTTCGAGGAGGAAACGCAGCAATTGTACGTTGCAGGCGTTTTGCGACGATGATAAGCCTTGACGTCGTCGCGTCGCATCGCGTCGCGTCGCGTCGCGTCGCGTTGCGTTGACTTCTCGCATGTCGCGCTGCATAAAATTAACTCGCAAATTAGTCCCGCGCACACGCAACGCAATTGTAGACATCTCCCCGACACGCACACGCGACGTTAATGCGCTCGAAGCTTATCGGCTGATAGCAATAATGTAATAATGTTGAACTTTGCGAAAGGAAATCTTCTTGACAGAAAGAAGTAGATGAATTATTGATCGGGAGATATCGAGAGCGGGGCACAAAAATGTGATAAAGTTCATGTTGTTCATACGGTCGATTACCGGAAGAGTATACATAATAATAACCTATGTAATAATAATCTATGATTATTCGATAATGAGTATTAAAAAGTGACTTCTTATTAATTATTGATTGTTATTAATGATATTAAAGCGATGTTAGTGATTGTAGTATTAATTTATTAAGAAAATTAAGAAAAACAATTTTTATGGTAAAGAAAATATAGTATGACGAAAACTCGAAAAAATGCTATACGTGGCCATATCTAGCCAGAGGAATATTTTTTAGAGGAACATCCAAAAATATTTATCTTGTATCTCTGTGACGTGTTTTGAACATTCTGCTGTGTGATTTCTAATATAGATTATTAATCTCAATAATCAAAAAAAGATTCAAAACAGGTTTTTATGAACTTCCATATATCACACAACACCTTATTTTTCCTTATTTTTCTCATATTTTTCACTCATATCTTCAAGAATTCTTTATCTATTCGACCACCATTAAGAAAATTATTTCTTGCTGACATGGCATTTGAAAAATAAGTTTTCTTTCAGTCTTTTTAATGGTATTTTAACGAATTTAAATTTTTAGATAAAATTTAAATACATTTTTGTTTTTTGTTTTTTTTTTTTGCCAAGTTTCTTCCCCTTTTGTCAGCTGCGATTCTATCGAATGCGCGACTTATTTTGGCCATAGCAGTTAAGCATAGTTCATTGGTATCAATTTGGCATGTTTCCCGCGATGGAACGGCGTCTAATTCGCCAGAACGGAAACGGTCTTTACCTTAGCCACGTCCGAAAAAGGACCCCGACCGATCGCTCTCAGACGCACGTCTTGTGTGTTGCAGGGAATGGAACGCGACGGGCAACGTACGCGTGCAGGAATCCTGGCCGACGTGAACGACTCTCGCCGCGACAATGTCGAACCATTCCACCACCGAAGGATCAGGCTCCTTGATTGTTTCGCGCGCTACGGTGAGTCTGCCTTCAATCCTGAGAAGATTAGATCAAGCGAAAGAGAATCGAGCAAGGCGTGAAACTTATTAGACACTCGAGATTGATTACTTCTCCTGGCGCGCGGTCCATACTGGGTGTTCCTCGCGAGATCCACGCAAGTTTTCTGGGAAATTTGGATTTAACTTGGATTTAACATTAATTTGTATTGTATCATAATTGACTCGATTTTCTTTTTATACATATATATTGGCCGGATAATCATAATTTAGAAAAAAAAAAGAGAAAGTCATTGATTTAGATTTATTTAAATCATTGGTGCTAAGATTAGCTTTGAAACAACACGTGAATTTAAAAATTTAAACATAAAGATGTGATCGTTATCGTATTCTTAATGAAATATCCAAATGTCAAATAATAATCGAAAAAGCAATCTTTTCGCAATTTCGAACTTTGTTTAGTAATTTGCTAACGAGTTCAAGCCACGGATCGTTCGAATTTTAATGGATTCGGTATAACGATCGGCTATTTAAGCAACGATCTAGGGCGTGACAGTGTCGATTTTTTTTTATTTGCTCGTTAACGTAGAAAGTTGATTTTCACGTGAGTAACCACGCGAACGGCGAGTCCACTCTGGAAACTCGCGATCGGTGGTGGTTCGTCCATGAAAGTATCGCAAAACATCAAGGCTCGTTTTTTGCGCGTACTTTGCGCGCGCGCGTTGCGCCGACTCGCGATCTCTACGACAAACGCGATCTCTATCGGCCGTTTAATCGATCCATCCTATCGATCCTTACAACAAGTTAAGAGAGCTCTCACGCCGTGACCGATCCCGACTCGATTCCTCGCGGCCGGCGGATTAAATCGGGACGCGAATGTTTTGCCCCAGTTTCACTTGACAGGCCGATCTGCACGGCGAGTTCGTTCCGCTCAGGCAAACTAGGCGATTGGCGGCTTCGATAGTCTGCCGATCTTACGATCAATCGACCGATTCGCTCGCCGGATCGCCAAAATCGAACAGCTTGACCCTCGCACGATCGACGAGCCGGTCGGCGCACACCTTGTCACCGATCGTTCCGCCGTGGCGGTCGCTATAATTACAAAAATAAGTCAATGAGGAGAAAAAAAATCGAGCGGCGAAAAAAAAATTGTTCGCGCCGTCAGTCCTGCCGCTGGCAAGAACGAGCCCTTTCGTCGCGCTCAAACGAGTAAACTCGCGCTTCTACGCCTCTCTCGAGAATAAGCCGGCCCTCCGACGCTTCCATTTCGACATCGCTCGTACGCACGGCGAGAATGAGTCGTTCTTTGAGCAACATCCACCAAGCAAATTGGATAGGCGGGGCGCAGAAGTCAGGAAAGTATGTGGAACTAACCGATTTTGAGCTGATCCTCCTTGAGAACTCTCCCTCGTGATAGACGATACTTGTGATACCATTAATTGATAGTCAACAATATATTAACGCGAAGAGGAGCCATTTCCACATTTTCTTGTTTGCTTGTATTTTGTCACTCGACTTCAATGAGAGAGTGAATTTAACGACGTAAGATAATTGCTCTTTGGCAGATCTCTAAGAGGGTTGCGTTTCGAAATGAATTGGAATATAAAATGTGTTTCAATCCGCCGATCAAAATTCGATTCGCTCTCCAATCTCAAATCGTCCGCCGTTCTTGCGAGCGCATTGAGGCGCAATGTATCGTGCGAGCGATTAAAAATTGAAACGTCAGGTGAACGGCATCCGGTCGATGGGTTCGCGCGAGATACGTGCCGCTCCGACCACGGGTATCCCGAATTTTTTCAAGAGGGAAAGCTTCCTCCCAGGCGATGAGGGGAATGCGCCCCGTCATTCCACGGATCTTCCCGGCCCGGGGACCTCGAAATGGAACCCGAAGTCCTCCATCGAGGGTGACAGCTATGAAATCGTTCGTGATTGCTCCTCTCACTTCGCAGCTCCCAACCTCCGAAGCTCTACCAAGTAGTTATCCGAAGGCACTGTCGATCGATTCTTCCGCGGGACTTCTTTTCTGTTGAAAAACATGGCGAAAATTATCTTTATTCAAAATAACCTTGAGGAAAGTCGTCGAGTAAAATAATAATAAAAATCATAACTTCATGTAAAAAAAAAAATATATAATACGGAGGAAATTATTTTAACGAGGCATAAAATGTTAATCTTTGCTCCGTAGAGTCGTAGGAAAATTTTATAACGCAATAAAAAATTTAATACTCATTGTGCGAGTATCGTATAATGATTTAAATAACGGGGCTGTTTCCATTGTGGAAACGACTTATCGTGGCTGATAAATATTGTGAATGTCTGTCGCATGCTGAGAGTTTTCGCGGCGCAAATCGCTCCGGGATCACACACAAATGGCACGGCTTATTACACCGATAATCGATTCGGCGGATCTGCATCGTGGCTCGTTCCGTGCCGGCGATTTTTCTCAGGTGCGCGATAGTGCTGATTCATGGAAACGGGAGAGAGTAAGGGTAAGAGGAGGCAGCCGTGGAAGAAACGCGCGGTCCTTCGGGCGAGATTAACACGTCAAAGACGACGCGCCCTCTCTGTCTCAGCAGTTGCCTTGTAATTCCCGGTGGATACAGGACTAATGGGTTATTTCAGGTAATTAGCCGCGCCGCGTCGCCGTTCCTTCCACGCGAAGGGCTCTCGCCCTTCCTTGCCTTTCTCCCTGCTTTTATTCACCCGATTTCCTTCACGTCTCGCAGCGCCTCGCGCACGCATATGGGGACATATCCGAGCCGTTTCTTTCCGGTGCTGATTGATAATCGTAGGATGTTGGATGGACGCTTAATCAGCCGGCCGATATGCTCTCGACGATTTACTTTCACATTGCACACCGAACGACCGAACGACCGAACGTTAATTCGCGAGAACGTCGTAGCCGACGTAGGCGGGGCTAGTCGAGAGGGTAAATTGCAACAATCATTGCAAAGCTCTGCGCCTTTCACGCGATTGCAACACGCCGTGTTACGAAGTTTCATAGTCAACATTGGCAAAACGGCGGGTGGATAATGGCAAATTCTGCAGCAGGCGCAACAAAATTCGTGACTGCGACTAACCCTTTTTTGCAGCCAGTTTCGCATCTGAGCGCTTATTAATCCGCTTTCTGGTGAGGATTAAGATCGAGAAATGCTAAGGCAAGGTCTCAAAGAAGAACTTATTTCTGCGTTAATAAATTAATAAATTAACCTGCGGAAACAGACGAGATGAGATGCGCTACGCGATTTAAATATTGATATTTCACACGTTTATTCTTCCTATTGGTTAATGATAATTTTCGTTTGAGCGATTTTTGTAGAACGGAAAATAACTTAAATTATGAATCGGAGATTGATGCTCTTAGTCAGGATGATTGATTTTCGCCGAGTATGAAAGGAACGAATATTGTACTGCAGACTCCCGATCGATTAAGACTATCGCGATCGAGCAATTAAATGCGATCGCGCGACTGCGCGAATTCGGCAATTATGGCGCTAATGATGGGTAGCTCGCGACAGCTTCCTTCAAACTCCGAAGGAAGAAGACTCGCTCGCGCGCGCAAGAATATCCGTCGAAGGCGAGGTAGATCGTCCAAGAAATCGTCTTTGCCGAGTCACGCTGTGTAACGAACTTCAGCTGGGTGCTAGTTCGAGATGAGGCGAAGTCTCCTTTCTCGAGTCCGAATTGCGGTTAGCCGTTTCGCCGTAACTCCGCAACGCCATAACGTAGAAGGAAAAGGTCGTTACGCAGGGAAAGGTCAAGAGAGTCAGTTTCATTCGAAACGACATGGTTCATAAACACATGGTCCACGTATGGTTAACCGGGACATCTGGAAAATTTCTAATCCTAACGGACGCGTCCATCGTGCTAAGCTCCAGTGAGATTCGCTATTATTTACCTTCCTTTACTCATCTGCCAAAAAGAAAATCTGTTCCTTAAAAATATTTTAAAACAGCAAATCTGAGAAATAAACAATAAAAAAAAAAAGAATTTTCCTGCTTTTCGGTCGTTTCCTTCATCATGAATCTCTCAAGAGAACAGTAGAGAGAACACAGGAGACGCTCTCTTTTTTTGGTTCATAACCCGATCTTTCACGCACATAGACGAGACTCATTCTCCTTCTGGCTTCGTGGACGTTTCGCTAAAATCGGATCGGCATCTCCTGATCGGCTCTTGGTAAGATTCCTCAATGACAGCCGATTAAGGACGATTCGCCGCGAGAATGGGAACGGGCGTCGGCGAAACGTCGGCGCGGCGGGAACGGCTCGGAGCCCGCTTCGTTAATTCCTGATTTTCCTCGGTCCGCATCACTTTTTAATTGACGCCAGAAATTGAACCAGAGAGCTGGCAGAACGCTCTGGCTGGCCGCGCGTCCGTTCTCGCAGAGTCATCCTCCGCTACCTCCTCGTCGCCTCCTTCGCTTCCCTCCGAATCATCCACGCTGGTTCTCCTCGTTCAGGATCGGATTAAGCTGTACGTAATGTGGAAGATTATACTGTCATAAGATTGCTTGCGACGCGCCTCGTTATTATTCGGGATATTTACTTATTACATCAGATGAGAGTTCGGAATCGCTTTGCCAATGTTGCTGAAACGAAATGGCGGCATGGTCGATTTTTATGGTGGAGGAAAATTAGATCATAAATTGACGCATCGGTATCTTCGTAAATCTTACAGTAAATCTTTTTTATTAACATCTTATACATACACATTTCCTTTTGGAAACATGATAATTTGGTTTCATGCTGACATTTGGCAATTGCATCATGACAATGCATCTTGATACTTTGCGTACGTGAGTCTTTAGCTTCAAAAAATTGTGATACCCCTATATTTGTCAGATTTAAATTAATATGATTTTTTTCTTTCTAAAATTAAAAACTGTCTTAAGAATTATGCATTTTAAACAGTTAATGAGATTGCAGCTCTCACAGAAAGAAACTTTCAGCATTGCTACCGAAAATGAGAAAATGTTAGTATGTTGCTTCAAGGAGATTACTTTGAAGAAGATTATATTAATCTTGTTTTAAAAATTTTGCAATAACTTTTTCGTAATCCGTTATATTAATCTTAAAACGGACTATATAATAAATTTTATAATAAACTTCCTTAGTAGATCCTAATTTTAATGATTTGCAAGTTTCATTTAAGAAGAAAGAATTTACAAAATAGGACATTGTACATAACATATATTTTCCTTTGCAACAACAAAAAATCCACAGTTTCCATTCTACGTGAAGAAAAAAATCTGCAAAGCGTTCCTAGCATTTTTAAACAGGAAAAATTCGAATTTCCGTTCAGTTTTTACTCTTCTTTTGAGAAGACTCAAGTCGAAACCAGTACTGTTCGTGCATCGGCACGATGCACAGTTTCCATCGGTTCGCCAGGTGTTCCAGTCACGTGTCAGTTTCCGCCTGTCGGTTTCCAGCTCGCCGAGAGATGCTGCCAATGACACCGATCTTGTCCCACCCCCGCGCGCCAACTCGCCTACCTTTTCCCATCCATCCTGTTTTCCGGCGCTCCACTCTATCGCGAGAGCTGCGACTCGCGCGAACGGCTGTTTGCAGGGACGACCCGGAGAGCCCAGCCCAGGTTTCCACCTGTCGTCTCGCGTCTCTCCTCGGTGAAAACCAATGTCGCCTCTCCGCCAGACCGACACACGCGATGTCGCCATCGCGTCGCGTCGTGTCGCGTTGCATCGCGCCGCGTCGCGCCGCGCTGCGTCACATCGCATCGCGTCTCGTCTCGTCTCGTCTCGTCTCCACCTCCGCCTCCTCCTGCAGTCGTGGCTGTCATCGGCAGGAGCTCTCGACTCGCGTAAAAATAATTACACTGAAAGAGAGGATTGGGTACGGATTGCGAATCTTCCATACCTTCGCTCGCGGCTTTCCATCCGTTCGACGGCCATTGTGAGGATGAACGAATGAACGGACGAACGGACGGACGGACGGACGGACGGACGGACGGCTTAATAAGCTCGGCACGTCGGAACGGGCGCCGATAAAAATTTATCCGCCTCGCGTACTTCTTTTGAATCGTACCGCCATCGTTTCCATTCCAAAACGTCTACGATTTCTCAATCTCCAAAATGCGGATTTACCGCAGAACTTGAGTATACTACTATATTTCGCCTATATTGTGGAAAAAATTAATATCGGCTTTGTCTTGTTTTATTCGCACAATCGATGCTCTCTTGAGCGAGAAAGAAGATGAAGATTATTGATGAAATTTTTTTCTTCAGGCAATTAAGTATAATTAGTATAATTATACTAATATATGAATTATTACGTGGAATATTAATTAGATTCGATTTGGCGCGAGATTTAATAATTATTCCTAGGTAGGTTGTAAGCAATTATCCGCGCTGATGAAAAAAGCGTTTCTTATAAGGCTTAGAAGAGCACGTCGGATATCGAGACATTATCAGATAATTATTCACGATTATTAACTGTGCGATATACATGTGACATGTACACGTGAACGCGAGAGAAGGCTGAAAGCTCGTGGGACACGTAGGAGTTAATAAAAAGCTCGCAATCGCTTCGCTTCGACGTGCCATGACAAACGATCATCGATCTGCAAAAACAGTGGCTTGCTGTTGCTGTTTTTTTATTTCCATATGTATATAAATTCCCAAAAGACCGGTAGCAATTGCAATCAGTAAGTTTATATTACCACTTCGTCGACGATGCCACCCTCTTCATCAACGCGGCAACTCGTCGACGGCCATTTACACATTCGGTTTTTGTTCGTCATTTACAAAAGCGGCTCGTTATCCTTTTTTTCCCCAACTTTAAACAACTCTCATCGGCGTAACAAGTGTGCCATTGAATTTTATCGGCGTGATAAATATATCAGTGTCGCGCAACTGCAACAACTGATGATGTTTTATGACACAATTGTTGAAATAAAACGGTGTCATGTACGATAGAAGTTGAATTTAAATTATATTTTCTTCTATTTTACAATCATATGAAATTGCTTTTATTATTTAATTAGAATTATTACATGGAAAAAGTTTTGCTAAAACATATAAAAATTTAGTCAAGTAAATTTGAAAATAATTTTGTTGGATCATTAAAGTAATTATGTAAGACGCTCAAGTTTACCGCTAGAATATTAAATGTTCTTGTAGTATTCTATGTTTAAACAACTTACATAATCATTGTGATGGATTAATAGAATTATTTTTAAATCTATATCTAAACCAATTTTTTAGATACTTTAATAGAATTTTCTTCCGTGAACTGAAATGAACAGAACTTCGAGCCTAAGTTGTGTGGAAAAACGTAATAATACTATAATAATGATAGACATATATGGGATTTGAAATACAAAACCATATCTTAAATTATAAAAATTTGTTTATCTAATTCAACTTAATTTAACTCCATTTATTTTAATTGTTAAAAAATAACTACATATATTACACAAAACAAAGAGAACAGTTTCGCTAAAGTATTTAAAATTTTATTACACATAAAAAAAATAATGTTGGGCCATCAAAATTATTATGTAAGACATTTAATCATACTAGTAATACAAAAATTTTCTTATATGTTAACAATCAATTTGCACATTTTATAATAATTATTTGGATGACCTAACAAAATTATTTTTTAAATTTTTAAATATATTTTAGTAACTGTTGTTTCCGTACATACTTTCATGATTTTAAAGTAACGTGACTTTATCTTCTAGGCTACGAATTACTTTAATTAATAATCCCAACTTATGTTTATCGTTATTACGAAATAATAATCTTAATGGAATAATCTGACAGATTTTATATAACATCCTGTTTATTTTTCTAGAGCCGGGCCATTGTGTGCATCGAAACGCTGCCGTGCGGAGCTGCCCCAGCCCAGAACCAGTTATGAACATATGATTAAGCTCGTTTTAATAAGTTTTTATGTAGACCTTACGCGTAAGGATGTATAATAAAAATAAGTGTTGAATAAACGAGATACGTTGAGACAAATGGTGATCCCATTGCGATAAGAATATATATCTAGTGCAAATTGAACCATCTTCCGCGTTTATCGTTACTACGATGTACGTAACTCGAATACACTATTATAATTAATAGAGATTAAATGGATGTAGAGGCATAGCGAAAGGCTATATATTGAGTCTCGAACGAGAAGTGCGAAGGATGATGCTCCGAGTAAACTAACCAAGTTAGCCTCTTAACCTCTCTAATTACAATCGGACGGATAAAGTTACGATCTCTCCGAGATTCGCGATTATCGAATTATCGAGAGAATTCGAATTATTCGTCGGATGCTAAAATAAATTTGTACGGTGAGTCGAAGGACTTTCTCGAGAAGATTACTGCTTCTCGATAGAGATCCGCCATGTTTCAAATAAGGACGAATGGCCGACCGCGTTTAATTTTCTGATACGAGCGACGAGGGTCGACGTACGAAGGAAGGGCGGATCTTGGCTCGTCTTCTCTGCCAACGTCGTCACCGTGGAGATGAGAGTATGGCTGCTCCGTCAGAAACTTGCGTGTAATTTTAAGAATATTTTACGGTGAAATGAGACAATAAAGAATATCCAACGAAGATTTACAATATCCTATTAATAGTTTTTCTTTATCGTCAAATTTAGCATCTTCGCGAAGGCAGTGAGATGAACTTTATTTGTAACCCAATTTGTATCCTACAATTTAAAAATTGTTATTCGTGTTTGTTGAAATATCAATCAAAACGTATCGCGATGATAGCTTTCTGTTTTCTTGTTAAATATCACAGAAAAACAACATGTTATTTTATAGATTTCTAAGCCGGGCTGTCCGACAGTTCGGTCTTTGAAATATTTTTAGAGATATTCAGAATGAAGAAATATTTTTAGAGATATTCAGAATTTAGAACGCATGAAAATAGCATTATTTCATCTCGCGATAAAGTCGACACGCATCCCCCGTGTTTTCGATAGAGCCAAGTAGGCCACTCGCGACCTGATAAAAGCGAACACTCGGTATATAAGAAAGGAAGATATTGGCCCGTCTTTTCCATCCAGTATTCGTCACCGTGGAGACGACTGGAGAGTCATGGGTGTTCTCCTGAATCCTCGATCTCGAAGAATCTGTCTCGTACATGGACGAGCGAACCCTCTCCGGAATCTAACCCACCCTTGCCGTTGCGGAGGATCGCAAGGACGAGGGTTGCCGGCGAGGTCTCGCCTGATTGGCGGCCGTGGACTATCGACCAACCCGAGACCAGCCCTTTGTTTTAGCCACCACCCTTGGCAGTATCGAGGGTATCCAACTTAAAGTCGGGTCATTGAACGCTCATGAGATTTTGATCGGTCTGTTTTGTAAAAGAAAAAAAAAAAATAGGAAAATCACGTCGCGAGGAAATTTAGCGTTGTATGAAAGTTTATGTGATATTTTTGTCATTGGAAAAAATATGGCTTTTATAAATTAATACTTTAAAAAGAAGATATTACAAAGACGATATATCGATAGAGAATATATAATAAATAAAAAATAATTGTTGAACAGAATAATGTAAAAGAATATGTAAAAAACGAAAAGTTTTATAACTACCGATTGTTGTAAAACTGCAAATCGAAGAGACGAAGTCAGTGAATATCTGCGTATGCAAAATCATATGTTGACTTTAGAGCAGAGCGCATCGCGCTTGCATTCTCGCTCGTGGATCGATGATGCAGCACGTGCTACGGCCTTGTAATACACTGCGTTCACCTGCATACCGTACGTCCCTGCTGCATCTCGGCTGCTTAGCATAATTAGTGACTGATGATTAACAGGCGTGCATCAGCACCGGCTAAATTGGCTTAATTAATTCGCGCTAATACTGTCTCACCGCGGAGATCGACCAGGCATCATGTAATTTCTGCTGTTCCAATTTTAAATTGCACACTTGTCGTCTACTGCTGTCTTCTGTGAGATGCCATTTGTCGTACTCCTTTGCGTAATCCTGATTCTTGGTGTGATGCGGCAAAACATATCGATAAATTTAACTTTTATATAATTATACAATTTATTATTCGATTATAATCGTATAAATTTAGTTAGGATTATCGATCGATAAATATAATTTCCCGTCTAATTTTATTTTGGAATACCAATTCTTTCGATTTTTTTTCGACTGCTAATTAATCCAATAGATTCATTCAAGATTCATTTTTCCAGCAGTGTATCCGGAATCGGTTTACGATCGATTTCCAATACATTCGTATTTTCATAAGGACAGTCAGAGCGATGGCATATTTCGTACACGTGACGCGACATGATCGGCAGGGCAGGTTAATTAACATCAGCATTATTTTAATTGGCTGCAATCCATGTCGGATATATATGTCTTAAACTAGCCTCGACAGTCTTGAATATATATATACATGCAAAAACTCACACAATCACGGACGCACACGCACGAGAAGTATTATTGTTAGACCAGTTAAAAAAAGAAGGGTAGAGAGAAAACGTAAGAGGAAAACGGGGCGAGGTCGAACGTGGCCGTGCGGCTTGGCCGTCAATCAGCCCTCTCTCCCTTGCCAAATTACTGTCAAATGCAATTAGAATTGACGTGGAAGGCCGGGGCTAAATCAAAATCGCGAGGTAAACCCCCTCGATAACGATTTCAACCCCGGAGGCTATGCTCAGTCGCAATTTTCTCCCGCCGCTAATTAATACATCTCGTATCGTACGTCAATTCGACAGTTCCACCTCCTCTCTTCCCTCTCCCCCCCTTCCCCTTTTCCGTGCCGTTCTTTTCCTTTCCCCTCTGCCACAGATCTGATATGTACGACGACCGTCGAAAAAGAGGAAGCTATATTTTTCAGAGGTATTTCGATGGTAGCGAACAGGACGCGGATCGATATCCGCGGACATATTAATGGAAATGGACGCAAAATTCTGACGAATTCATAATTAAAAAAGTTTCACAAATTAACCGTTGTTGCATGAATATACGTATGATGAAATTTTTTCTTGGAATTAATAATTTTTACGAGTTCTCAGTAAGAACGTAACAAAGTACGAATGTGCGAAGTATTTCCTTAATTCTAACATGTAACGAAACACATATAATTTTAAGAAATTATAATATTTTATAAATGGATTTATATAAATGTGTAAATTTCCACGGCGATGAGAGTAACGTGAATTTTTTCAATATCGTTTTGCTTCCTGCGCTTCCCTTTATTTGTCCCGCTTTTCACTCGCGAGAACTCGTCGGGGAAGAAATTGAAGTCTCGCGAAGGTAAATCTCTTGCCGGATCCATGCCAGAATTCTTTTTTTCTCGCTCACCCCCTTTTTCCTCCGAAGGAGACGAGATCCTCTTTAGAGGTAGAATGATATATATTAAAGAGATGCTTTTTGGTAATAAACAATCGGGCAACGAGGGTCCGCGGCAGTTAGGTGGGGCATTAGGGTGAATTATTCTGGCCACCCAGCGTAAAAAGATCGATGAATCACGGGAGTAACGGGGTTCTTGCTCTCCCCGATGATGTTGTATCTTGTCCTACGACCTCTTAAACTCGACCTTACAATAATTATAGTCCCTCATCTAAAATCTAACACGTTCATTCCTGCCTTTCGTCCTCTTGGTATATAATAATGGTAAAATATTTTCCATCTTTATTTTTTTACTTAACAAATTATGTTTAGATATAAGCAAAAGAGGCAAATGTTTTATATATTAATTTGTCAGACTTTTCAAGACGAAAATAAATATATACTTATGGTTTAAAAATACATACAATTTCATACATGCGATGATATATAGTTCATATACATATTTATTTTTTTATTTATTTAATAATGTACCTATAAGAAAAATGTCAGAGGATTTGTGTTTGTAAAAATTGGGATTTCTAGCCGTGCTAAATGCTTCGTCATTTCCAACGCGACAGCTGCAATCGCCGCTATGATCCAGCATCCGTGCTCTCGTGCATTCACAAATACGTAACACGTTTGAGCACATACACACACACACACACACACACACACACACACACACACAC